TATCCCAAAACACCTTCACAGAAACACCTAGAATAATGTTTGACCAAATATCTGGGTACCCTATGACCCAGTCAAGTTGACACATAAATTGACGATCATAGATGGGGGCTCTTGGTACCCCCAAGAGCAGGATGGGCTTCAAGTCACCCCAGTGACTTGAAGATTACCTAATTATTAGCTAATAATTAGAGCTGTCTTGAATTATGAATTTTATTACATTCCCTGAGTTATTTTCCATTGTCTGTGAGGCCTAACTCTATGGCTGCATTGAACTTACTCTTTTTTCTCTAAGTACTTTTTATATAACTATTTAGTTTAACTTGTGTGTCTCCATGTTCAGGCTCACCGGACCAACCACTTTATGGGTGGGCTAGCCTAATAACAGTAGTCTTGTTCCTTGTATAGACATTACAGAAATAAACCATGGGCATAAAAACTTAATTCATATCTCTTTTTTTTCTGCTAATAAAAGAAAATGCTGGTGAAGATAAACAGAACAATAATTAAGTAATTTGTTACTTAAAAAAGATTCATGTTCTTGATTCAGCTTTTTTAGCAGTTATTTATTAAATTTCAACTCTTATGAAGAGCTGGCATGTTTTGGAAATATGAAAGTGTGACAGTTTTTGCCCTCAGACCACAGTCGATAATAAAATCTGCATATTTAAATATGAAGCAAAGTAGTTTAGATGAGAAGTTAGATTCAAGCTGGTTTGAGTGGGCTTCACGAATTCATACTTATGCTAGTCTTTGGTAGATAGGATTTGGATAAATAGAAAAAATGAAAATCTTTCACGAAAAGGAAAGGGAAATGAGCAAATTCAGTTGCATGAGAGTTTTGGGGAATGATCATTTAACCATGTTGACATGAATGTACTGTTCTTGCCAGAGGAATAGTGAGAGGTGAAATTTGAAAGCTGAGGCTGAACTTCAGTATTTCCATAAAATTTGGTTGCATGTTAACCTGTTTGAGCATCAGTTTACGTGTCTATTAAATAGAATAATAAGTCCTGTCTTTTCTGTTGTTTTTGTGAGACTCATAACCAGTCACATCTGAATTTTGTAACTACAGTTCCTCTGTTTTTAATACAGAAAGAGGCTTTCCTGAGTAGAGGAATGAGTCATCAGACTCTATACCATTTCCTCCTCACTCTTGCTGTTCCAGCTTCAATCTGGAGAGAACAGTACACCAAGTTCATCCTCCATAAATCTCACCGGCATCCTTAAAGCCCTTGGAAATTGTTTTTTATGTCTCAGTCTCTTGATGTTGTTTTCTGATGGCAATGCTACACCAGTATCTCCATGCATATGGCCACACACGTGCTGTGGATCACATTCCTTTATACATCTGTCTGGCTACATCTTCTCTGACTTCTTTGTTGACTTATCTTTCTCTAATTGCTCATTAAATGTGGGTGTTCACAAAACTGACTTGTTGGCCTCTTACTACTACACTCCTTTTGAGTAATAATCATTCTCATTGTTTCAGTAACAACAACTCTTGAATTTATATACTTTATCCAGACTTCTCTGAGGTCCAATTCTGTAACTATCAACTGGATATTTCTAAACTTTTCCCTTTCCTCTATATCCTCTTCACCACCAAAATTAGTTTTATTTTGGACTCAAGATAGTATATAGGTAAAGGACTCAAATTCTCACTCTTCCTCTTAGTAACTTTGTAACAATAGGCAATTAAGCTTTGTAAGACTCAATTTTATTAACTGTAACATGGAAAAACAATAGTTCCTATCTTCACATAAGAAAACATCAGACAAAATGAGTATATGGGACTTATGGACCCAGCCAAGATATAGTAATAGGGATTGAATTTATCCTGTACCATAAACTAGAAATCCCTCATGGGGCTGTTGAGAGGATTAAAAGAGTATTTATTTATAAAGCACTTGAAACAGGATCTGGCATAAAGTAAGCTCTATATAAGTGTTTGCTTTTATTATTATTAAACATAGACATAACGATGAAAACTGTGAAATGAAGCAAAAGTGGTGCTTAACGGGTAAATTATCATTTTAAGTGCTTATATTATAAAAAAAAAAACAGTTCTTAAATCAGTACTCTTAAACTTCTGTTTTAAGAAACTGAAAGAGAAGAACAATCCCAAAATAACCAAAAAGAAATGAAGACAGGTGCAGAAACCAATGAAATAGAGAGGTGCAAAACAGTAGAGAAAGTCAGAAATTAAAATCTAGCTTTTTTTAAGATCAATAACAAAATTCCAGCCAGACTAATCAGGAAAAAAAGAAAGGACACAAATTACAATAACAAGAATGAAAGAGGACACATGACTTCAGATATTGTAGACATTAAATTGGTCAACTTAAATGAAAAGAGCAAATTGAAAAACACAAACTACCAAAGCTCATTTAAGAGGAAATAATCTAAACAACCCTATATAATATTTTTTCAACTTGCAGTTAAAACCTTCCCTCAAAAAAACTCTTGTCCTAGAAGGCTTCACTGAAGCATTCTATCAAACACTTAAGATGAAACATTATCAGTTCTACACAAAATCTTTCAGAAAATTAAAGGAGGGAACACTTCCCAACTCATTTTATGAGGTCAACATTACCCTAACATGAAAGAAAACTGCAATAGATGGAAAAACCTTCAACAAAATTTTAGCCAACCAAATCAAGTAGTGTATAAAAAGGCTGATACTTTGACCAAATGGAATTCATTACAGGAATTGACTGCAAGGTTGAATATCAGTGTAATTCATCATATGAACCAACTAAGAAAAAACTATTTGATTATCTGAATAGATTGAAAAAATTCATTTCACACAATTCAATACTCATTAATGATAAAAACTGTCAATAAACTAGGACTTAAAGAGAACTTTCTCAGCCTGTTAAAGGGCATCTAGGAAAAGCCTATAATTTACATCACACTTAGTGCTGAAAGACTAAATGCTTTCTTCTAAGATCAGAAACAAGGGAATGTTGTTTGCTCTTACCACTTCTATCCAAGATTGTGTGAAAATTATAGCTAGTGCAGTGGGTGGTGAGAAAGGGAATTCAAAGGCACCCAAATTAGAATTTACAAAAAAAGCTAGTGAGACTAATAAGTGAGCTTAGTACCAAGTTATTATACAAAAAAGTTAATTGTATTTCTGTGTACTGGCATTAAACAATTGAAAATTTAAAAATAAATTAACATGAAAACATTTATAATAGCATCTAGAATATCAGTATTACAGAAGTTGAACAAAATTCTGCAAGGCCTTTATATTATAAACTATAAAACATTGCTGAGAGAACTTAAAGGAGAACCAAATAAATGGAGATGAATACCATGTTCATGGATCAGAAAACTCAAAATTCTTATAATATCGTTTCTCCCCCAAATTGTAACAAACTGCTCAGTACAATTCCAGTCAGTATCTTCACAGGCTATTTTGTGGAAATTGACAAGCTATTTCTGAAATTTATATGAAAATGCAAAAGGCCCTAGATTAGCTTAAAGAATTTTGAAAAAGAACGAAGTTGAATGACTTACATTGCCAGATTTTATAGATTTACTATAAAGTTACATTAATCAAGACAGTGTGGGATTGGTGTAAGGATAGACATATAGATTAATGGAATAGAATATAGTCCAGAAATAGACCCACATACATATGTTCACTGATTCTTGGCACAAATGCTAACGTAATTCAATGGAAGAAACAGTAGTGTTTTTGACAAATGATTCTAAGACAATCAAACACCCATAAACAAAAACAACAAACCTTATCCTTTACCTTACATCATTCACAAAAATTAACTTGAAATGGATCATAGATTTATATTAAATAAAAGAGCTAAAACTCTTAGAAGAAAGCATGGGAAAATTCTTTGTCACCTTAGAGTAGGCAAGAAATGATTTCTTAAGTAAGACATGCAAAGCCAAACTATAAAAGAAAAAAAAGATCAGTTGAACTCTACCCAAATTTAAAATGTTTGATCTTCAAAAGTGGCTCTTCAAAAGTCACTATTAACACAATTCCTGTTAAAATCCTAACAGTATTTTTTGTAGACATAAACAAGTTTATTCTAAAATTTATATGGAAAGATAAAGTAACTGGAAACAATTTTGTATAAGAATAATAAATTTGGAGGAGTCATACTACTTGATTTTAAGACTTAATGTATACTCCTAAACTCAAGACAATTTGGTAGTTATTACAATCCAGTTCATGAGCCTATATATGGAAGGCATAGCACAGTGCCTAGCACTTTATATTTGTCGAATTATTTGCCTTGTAATTATCAGGATTTTGTTTTTGTCTTGTTAGCATTGTCTCATAACTACACACACACTAAATGCCTTTCTCTCATATTTGCTCATTCTTAAAATAATATTATATCTTCTTCTTTTACCTTATATTTTCTATCCTGCTTCTCATTCTTTTAACCATTATGCCTTCAGCATATGCATTATACCCAGATATTGCTTTTGGGGATCAGGGGCTCTGTTATAGTGACAAGCACTATGCTGCTCTGTATTTGTTAGGTAGGGGTGATGTGTGCTAACCAGCTTACTAGCCTATAAATTTGTCGTTCCTCCCATGTTACACTAAATGAGATTGTGAATTATTTTTTAATGAAAGCTTATCAGTTTCTTACAAAAATTAAGGTTTTTAAATAGAAAAAAGGTCTGGTTTTAAATTTAAACTGTGGAAGTGACCTTGAAAATATGATTAGTTATAATTATGTGCTTTATATTTTTCTGGTAAGTTAAGACATTTATGCATATTAATACTGGTGACCGCTAGGTTGGAGAAACTTTATTCTAGCAGAAGTTTTTTGTTTTTTCAAAACTGCCAATTGTTTCCTTAAATGTAGCAGATGCTAAACAGGCTGATATTTTTTCTTTCTAATTGTGTTTTATAATAAAGCAGCTCTTTTAACATGATCTAGCAGTCTGTGTTAACTATTAGTGAATTTTAAGATTACACAAATTCATTTTGTGAGCCATTTTGTTCTGTTTTGCAGCTTGGTGAAATTTTGGATGAAGCCATTAAATTAATTGCTTGCCATCATGAGCAGAAGTAAGCGTGACAGCAATTTTTATAGTGTAGAGATTGGTGATTCTACATTCACAGTCCTGAAACGATATCAGAATTTAAAACCTATAGGCTCAGGAGCTCAAGGAATAGTATGGTAAGTTTTTACTTTCAGAAATTAGGCAAAAGATTATTAACCGCTGTTATTTTCTCCTCTCATAATATAGATATCTTGGTGTAAATATTTAATTTGTCTCAAGAAATTCAATTAAAACTATAAAATTTAAGTTAAAGCTATAACAGAGAGTTGTTTTGTTCAGGGATTAATGGTGTTTCGTATTATTATTCACAAAACAAATCTATAAGTCAGCACTGCCATCTTTAAGTATAAATTATGATTAAATACTTGGTCATAAGCCATGTAGGGACAGATATATGTATCAAGAAAGAATAAGTGACATGCTTGTTAATTCCATGTCTATATCCATTCCCATAGTTGTTTAATAAGAAGCTTCACTTAATTCATCACTTTCACACTGTAATGAAACTCTGGAATTTCAGAAATCTTATTTTACACTGGAGAATCAAGTCAGCTATATCATCTGTGTTTAAAACTCATAAGTATCTTTAAAATTGATTTACAAACTAATTCCTACAAAAGGCCTTTATTACTTCTTCTTGAACCAGATTTGTTTAGGAATTTATTGAAAAGTTTATATGTTTACGACCCTGTAGTTCTCCCAGGTTCCAGAAAAACTCTTGCAATGTATACAAAAAGAAATACATAGGGCTCTTCTTTCCAGCACCATTTATAATTGTTTTTTGAATTTCTTATTACAGTGCAGCTTATGATGCCATTCTTGAAAGAAATGTTGCAATCAAGAAGCTAAGCCGGCCATTTCAGAATCAGACTCATGCTAAGCGGGCTTACAGAGAACTAGTTCTTATGAAATGTGTTAATCACAAAAATGTAAGTGAACATTTTAGAAAATTTCTTAAGTATAGATGAAATAAAGATTTGTTCATAACTACAAGAATAGCAAAAACTTTTAAAATATTAGGTGCTTTAAATTGTTCTTCTGGATTGAAATATTGTTTAAGAGGTTTATCTACAGTATGAATTTTTTTCTCAACTTCATTAAATTATATCAAAAGAAAAATGGCTCCTGAAATTTAAATTGTATAATTTTCTGACATTAAATGTGCAAGAAGACTTTTAAAGAGGTAGATGTTTTTAAAGAACTTTATTTTTGGCTTCATCTCATCTTCTACTTTTTGTTTTCTGTCTGGCTGACATTTCAGAAAACTGGAGCCTTAGTATAGAGATTGTTTCTATTATACTTTGACACCAGAACTTTAATAATATTGGATATAAGTTCAAATCATTTCTCCCTACTCTACTTTCTTCTCTCTAAGTAGTGCCAATACTCACTGGTCATTTTATGTTGAGGATAGCCAGTGGTTATAAAGAAGCTTAGCAGAAACTTTAAAAAATATTTAGATGAAATTAGAAAAACATTCTGATTCTACTTCCTAATGATTATAAAGACTTAAACTTTTAACTTTCACTCATTTTGAGAGTTGTTAAACTTTTTAAAGCTTGCATTAAGCATACTGATAGTTCTATGATTATTTTAATGGAACGATGACTTCAGATTGAGAAGAAATAAACTGGGAGTGAATTGTGCAAGGGACAGTTTTATGAAGTGCTAAACTGAAAGTATCTGACTGGAGACATTTTGTAGTGTTTGTATAAAGAAGTTTATAAAATATAATGAGCTCAGTACTTTCTGGTTGCTGATAATTTAACTATGTGCAAACCTCTGTATTGAAATTACTATATTAGTCATGAGGGGAAATATTTATGGAAGTTAGGGATTAGGCTCCATATTTGGGGAGCTTACAGGGTTATCTTGAAGACAAAACAAATACATAAAGAGGTAAATATCAAATGTGATAAAGCAATAGCAGTTTAATTGTCAAATCATGGTGGATGAAAAATAAGTGCTGAGAGAAGATTGTGCTTCGAGCCTTAATGAAATGGAAAATCTTTGGGGAAGAGTAAACCTACACTAATTCTTAAAGATGGGGTAAAAATTGGAGTATTTAAGGAAGAAGGCCTCCCAGAAAGAAAAAGTAGCATTAAAAAAAAGCTCAGAGCTAAAGATTAAAGTCAGCTAGTGATGGGGAAGAAGTCGTGTTTGCCAATATTGTTCTAGGTGGGAACCAGATATATTGCTTGTCAGGGTTTTGCTGGTAGTCTCCTGCGCTCAGAGCTGCTCGTGCCCCTTGTAGCCTGTTTTTGTGGCAGTGGTGGTGATGGTATTGCTTTAGTTTCACATTAAGATGACCGATAGCTTCCTACATCCTGAGCCTGGGTGACTGCAAAGAAAGATGGTTCCATCAACTAAATGGAGGGCATGGAAAGTTTGTTTCTCATGATTAACCCTCTAGTGGGGGTGGCACAGATCCATCCAGGCAATAACCTTGCCACCTAGAAGGATGTTGGCACAGAGTAGGTGCTCAAAATATTTGTTCAGTGAATGAATATAAAAGTAAATATAAGGAAAGGAGGAATGGCAAAGGAATTTTTTACTCCATGATGTATGTTTTTGTAATGTCTTGCCTTTTCTACATTTTCATGTTCTGCACAGATCTTTATTGGTCTAAACTTCTCTGGTTTTTCCCACTCTCTTCTTTTTTATTCTTTATTGTGGTAAAATACACATAACATAAAATGTACTATCTTAACCAATTTTTAAGTGTACAGTACAGTGATATTAAGTACATTCATATTACTGTGCATTTCCCACTCTTTTCATAGATGATTTTAAGTTTTTCAACTTGCTCGCTTATCATTGAACACACTTTGATATCTCACCTAGCACACAATACTGCATGTCTGATCGAACCCTCTGAGAGGAACTGAAGTATGTCATCTTCTCTTAACTGTGGACGTTATAATCCTGTTTGGAAATCATTGTCTAAGCAAGTTATTCTTTGTCACTGCCCTGCTAATAAGTCACATCTCTCCCATCCTTTTTTCTTTTGGTTTTGAAGAACAAGTATGTAGTACTTTCTATTTCTTTCTATTAAATTTCACATGTGAATTTGTTTCTTCTTACTGGACTGTTAGGGGTTGTTTTTTTCTTCTTTGCTCTGACTTTTCATTTGTTGGCTTCACTTCCTTGTTTTTCTCAGGATGCCTTCATAATATCTGGATTAGTTCATTAGCAGCCTTTGGGTATACTGTAAAAATTATCCAGCTCTTCCCAGTTCTTCATTTTATTCACATTAATGTTCTTATTAGAGACATTTTCAAAAAATACCTTCTTGAAATCTTCATGTGCTATATCTGGTTGCATTTCTCTGATTTATTGCTGTTGTTCTTTATTGTTATTGTTTTTATTCATAGAAGAAAATTAAAGTTTCTCAATGAATTTTTACCTGAACCTAGTAATTGTTATTTCTTTCAAAGTAGTTATATGCCACCCGATCAGTCTTTGACTTTTGTCTGTCTAGTCTATGATCGATATAATTTTTTTATTATTCTTTTTGAAAAATAAGACAGCTGTTTCACTCTTTTTTTATAAGAGCTTTATCGAGATACAGTTTATACAGCATACTACTCTTCCATTTAATTTGTACAAGTCAGTGGTTTTTAATATATTCAGAGATGTATGTGACCATCACCTGGTGAGTTCTAGAACATTTTCATCACCTCAAAAAGATATCCTGTATCATATAGCTCTCATTCCTCATTTCTATTTCCCTCAGCCCTAAGCAACCACTAGTCTCCTTTCTGTCTCTTTGTGCCTTTCATCTTAACATTTCTCTTCTACTCTAGGATTTCTCAGATATTAATGAGAACAGTTTTACTGTTTCTCTTAAGTCTCCAAGTGTGCAGTTTAACTGGTTAGGAAACTTGGTTTCATTTAGAGCAGCTAGATGCTTTATTATTATCACTGCTTCTGTTTTAAAAAATAAATGTTTTACCCTTTCTGGTCTGAAAATTACTATTCTGAATGTATTCACTGAACAAATATTTGAATGCCTTCGATAAGCAAAGTTTTATGCTTAGATGAATAACATAGATTCTGCCATAATGAAGTTTATGTCTAGAAGAATATTCCCATCCCTAAGTATAATTTTCGGCAAACATTTTAAAAATGTGTGTCAGGTATCTTCCTCTTTGCCAGGACTGTAAAAGGGAACAAGGCACAATTGTTTCTAACAATGATCCTAGTGTGGTTGGGGCAAGGGTATTGTGAAAATTAGATTATAGTATAGTGTGTTAAATGCCATAATAGCATATAAGATACCGTGGAGACAAAGTAGAGAAAATATTCAGCTCTGTCAAGGACTAGGGGTTGTCATACTCTGCCAAAGAGGTCTATCTTGAAGAGATAACTAAGTTCAGTAGGTAAGTGACAAACATAGGAAACAGTATATTTAAAGGCATTGAGAGTTTTTAGAAATTTAATTTTAGTATGACTAAATTATCAAGTTTAATAAAGGGCTTATTAAGAGGTGAAGTGCGTTGATGTCCTGTCATTGAAGACTTTGAATATTCTGCAGGGGAGTTTTGGAATTTATTTGTTGGCATTAAGTTTTCGAAGAGGTGAATAATATGATCAGATCTTTCTTTTACCATATTATAGGCAATAAAATGGTAGCTAGATTTACAGAAAACCATTCTTAGGGAAGCTAGTGTTAGAAGTCATAGCATGAACATTTGAGATGAGATGTTAGAATCTCCAACCTATATAAGTAGCACAGGGAATAGGAAGTATAGATTGAAGTTCAGATTGACAGTAGAATGGATAACATTTTTTAAAATATTTATTACAGTACAAATGCTGAAAAAGGAGTAAAAAAATCACTCTGAGTCTTCTGTTATAAAAGAAAAGGCACTCTGAAAAACTAAGGCCTTTGGGTACAAATGATAATGAGTTCAATTTTATCTTATTTGTGAGACTTCCTTTTGAAGTGGCAATGAATATGTGTATCTGAGACTTATAAGCAAGGACTTTTAATTCATATTTGCAAATTATCCACATAGAGATGTTTAGAGAAGAAGACACCCAGGGAAAGGCTACAGATAGAGCAAAGAGAATAATTAAAGACAGAATAGTGAGAAAGAAGACATATCTGTTGGATAGACCCGTGGAATAGACTGGGAATGAGGGAAACTGGGAAAGTGTGCAGTATTATGAAAAACCGCAAGAGGAAGTGCTGAGATAATATAGAGATATTGAGTTGGATAAGAGTGGGCAGAAGGTATTTAACATTTGCCTTCCAATTATGTAGAGGATGTAGGTTCTTGATATTAAGTCTTTCTTAGCAGAATGGATTACATAGAGCTCTTCTGTTGATATAATTTTTTAAGGCTTTTTTTTTTTTTAGCAGTTTTAAGCTCTCAGCAAAATTGAGAAGAAGGTACAGAAATTTCCCATATACCCCCTGCCCCCACTCATGCATAGCCTCCCCCATTGTGAACATCCTCCACCAAAGTGGTGCATTTGTTACACCTGCACTGACACATCCATATCATCCAAAGTCCACAGTTTGCATTTGAGTTCACTCTTGGTGTGTATATTCTATGGGTTTGGACAAATGTATAATGACATTATCTACTATTACAGTATCACACAGAATAGTATTTCCAGTGTCCTAAAGATCCTCTGTGCTCTGATTCCCTCCCTATCCCCAATACTTGGCCATAAAGTTTTAATATGTAAAAGAGATTACTTGAGCTTAGAACATAAGATTTGAAACATTTTAAACTAATGGTGGATTTTTTTAGCCCATGTATTCGCAGTACCCGAATAAAAGTAATATGAAGTAGTTTCTAATTTTTCATCCTCTTTGCTTTTGCCACAGATAATTGGCCTGTTGAATGTTTTCACACCACAGAAATCCCTAGAAGAATTTCAAGATGTGTAAGTGTGATAATTAAAATTTTATTATGTTAGTACATTATTCTTAGATTGTTGCTGTACACTTTAGCTGTCATCTTTTTTCACCCATGAAGTTACATAGTCATGGAGCTCATGGATGCAAATCTTTGCCAAGTGATTCAGATGGAACTAGATCATGAAAGAATGTCCTACCTTCTCTATCAGATGCTGTGTGGAATCAAGCACCTTCACTCTGCTGGAATTATTCATCGGGTTAGTAGAAAATACTATCATCATAATTTTTTTTTAATGATTGAGGTGGTATTCACATAACAACATTAACCATTTTAAAGTGTACAATTCAGTAACATTTAGAATATTCACAACATGGGCAACCACCACCAATATCAAATTTCAGAATATTTTCATTGCCTCAAAAGATAACCTCATACCCATTAAGCAGTCACTCCCCATTCTCCCTCTGACCTAAGCCCCTTGCATCATACTGGTCTGCTTTCTGTGTGTGTGGATTTACCTATTCTGGATATTTCACATAAATGAAATCATACAATATGTAGCCTTTTGTGTCTCACTTCTTTAACTTAGAATAATGTTCTCAAATTCAACCATGTTGTAACATGTATCAATAGTTAGTTCTTATGACTGAAAATACTCTATTGTATGTATTTACCATATTTTGTTTATCCATTTGTCTGTTGATAGACTCTTGGGTTATTTCTACCTGTTAGCTTTTATAGGTAGTGTTGCTATGACCATTCATGTACAGGTGTTTGTTTGAGTTCCTGTTTTAAATTCTTTTGGGTATCTACCGTGGAGTGGAATTGCTGGTTCATATGGTAATTACATATTTAACTTTTTGAGGAACCACCAAATAGTTTTTCATAGGGGCTACGCCATTTTACATTCCCAGTAGCAATTTATGACTGAGAATCCAATTTCTCTAAATCTTTGCCAGTATGTATTGACTTTTTTATTCCAGCCATCCTAGTGAATATGAAATGGTTTCTCATTGTGGTTTTCATTTGCATTTCCCTAATGACTAATGATGTTGAGCATCTTTTCATATGCTTGTTGGCTGTTTGCATATCTTCTTGGGAGAAATTTTTATTCAAGTCTTTGGTCCATATTTAATTAGGTTGTTTTTTTGTTGTTGACTTATAAATTTTCTTTATATATTTAAGGTGCTGGAACTTTATATTTGTGATTTGTAAATATTTTCTTCTATTTTGTATCTTATTTTTTTCTTTTACTCGTTAGCCTTTATACAAAAGTTTTTCATTTTCATGAAATACAATTTATTTTTTCTTTGGTTGCTTGTGCTTTTACTGTCATATCTAAGAATCCGTTGTCAAATCCAAGGTCATTAAGATGTTGTGTTTTTTTCAGAATTTTATAGTTTTAGCTCTTATGTTTATGTCCTTGACCCATTTTTAATTTTTGTATGTAGTGTAAGGTAATGATCTAACTTCATTCTTTTGCTTGTGGAAATCCAGTTGTCCCAGCACCATTTTATTAAAGAGACTGTTGTTTCCCAATTGAATGGTCTTGGCCCCCTTGTTAAAAATCAATTGGCCATAGATGTATTGTTTTATTTTTGGACACTTAGTTCTATTCCATTGATCCATGTTTGTCCTTACACCACTACCACTGTATTTTTGATCACTGTAACTTCGTAGTAAGTTTTGAAATGGGAAAATGTGAGTCCTTCAACTTCATTCTTCTTTTTCAACATCATTTTGACTATTCAGGGCCCCTTGTGATTTTATATGAATCTGAGTATCAGCTTTTCCATTTTTTTTAAAAGGCCATTTTTTATAAGGATTTCATTGAATCTGTAGATTGCTTAGGTAGTTTTGCCATCTTAACTATACTTAGTATTCCAATTCATGAACACAGGATGTCTTTCCAATTATTTAGGTTGTATTAGTCTGCTTGAGCCGCCGTAACAAAATACCGTAGACTGGGTGACTTAAACAACAGAAATTTATTTTCTCACAGTTTTGGAGGCTACAAGTCCACGATCGGGTGCCAGCAAATTCAGATTTTGGTGAGACCTCTCTTCCTGGCTTGCAGACAGTCACCTTCTCGCTATGTCTTCATTGGCGGAGTGGAGATGGGAGGGCGAGGGTGAGGTAGAGGACAAGCTCATGTTTGTCTTGGTATCTCTTCCTCTTACAAAGACACTAATTCTTTGGATTAGGATCCTGTCCTTATGATTTTATTTAACCTTAATTACCTCCATAATGGCCCTATTTCCAAATACAGCCACATTAGGGGTTAGGTCTTCAATGGTTGGGAGACACAAAATGCAGTCTATAACATAGATCTTTTTAAATTTTTTTCAGCAATATTTTATAGTTTTCAGTGTACATATCTTTCACCTCCTTTATTAAATTTTTTTCCTGGATATTTTATTCTTTTCAAAGTTAATTACAAATGAAATTGTTTTCTTAATTTCTTTTTCATATTATTCATTGTTAGTGTATAGAAACAATTGATTTTTGCATGCTGTTGTTATATCATGCAGCTTTGCTCAACTTGTCCTAATAGGGATTTTGTTTGGATTTTTTTGTTATATAATTTTCTCTTTATAAGATCGTGTCATTTGCATAATAGTTTTACTTCTTCCTTTCCAATTTGGGTGCCTTTTGGGTTTTTTTTTGCCTAGTTGCTCTAGCTAAAACCTCCTGTAAAATGTTGAATAGAAGTGGCAAAAGTGGGCATCTTTGTCTGATTCTTGATCTTAGGAGAAAGGCTTCTAGTCTTTCGCCATTAAGTATGATATTAGCCATGGAGTTTTCATAAATGTTCTTATCTATTTGAGGAAGTTCCATTTTGCATTGGAGTTAGTCACAGTGTACTGAGGGTACAGACTTCACAAAACTGCCTTCAATTCAGATACCAACCACAAGGTTTCTAAGACTATCTTCACTTCAGATCTGCAAATTTGGGGCTTCCACAACCACTGCAAATTAGGGGCTTCCACAACCACTCTTAGGTTCAATAATTCACTAGCATGACTCACAGAACTCTGAAAAGTACTATACTTATGATTACAGTTTTATTGCAGCAAAAGAATACAAGTTAGAACCAACCAAAGGGGGAGATGCATAGGGCAGAATCTGAGAAAAGTCCAAACATGGCGATTTCAGTCAGTCATTCTCTCTTCCCAGCTACAAAGTATAAAAATACAGAGTATTGCCAACCAGGAAAGCTCACCCAAGCCTTTGGTATCCAAAACTTTTCTTGCTGCTCAGTCACATACTCCCTGCCTAGCCTTTAGTCTCCAACTCTTCTTAAGGTTTATAACCAGTACAATTTGCTAGTAAAGCTATTTGGTCCTGAGCTTTTCTTTTTTGTGAGATTTGATTACTGATTCACTCTCTTCACTTCTTATGGAAATGTTCAGATTTTCTGTTTCTTGAGTCAGATTTGGTAATATCGTGTGTTTCCAGGAACTTGTTCATTTTATCTAAGTTATCTAATTTGTTGGTGTACAGTTGCTCATAGTATTCTTTTATACTCCATTTTGTTTCCATAAAGTCAGTAGTAATGTCCCCACTTCGCTTATGATATTAGTAATTTACATCTTCCATTTTTTTCCTTAGTCTAGGTAAAGGTTTTTCAATTTTGTTGCTCTTTTTGAAGAACCAACTTTTGATTTTGTTGATTTTCTCTATTTTTCTGATCTGTAATTTTGTTATTCTCTACTTTATTATTTTCTGGCACCTTCTTGCTTTGGGATTAGTTTGCTCTTTCTAATTTCTTAAGGTCGAATATTAGGTTATTGATAAGGGGTTTTTTTTTGTCATTGTTGTTGTTTTTAATATGGGTGTTAAAAGCTATAAAATTGCCCCTGAGCTCTGATTTTCAGCATTCCCTCAATTTTGGTATGTTGTGTTTTCATTTTCATTGATTTTGAAGTATTGCTAATTTCCCTTGTGAATTGTTTTTTGACCCATTAAGAGTATGTTAATTTACATAAGTCTAGGAATTTTCCACTTTTCTATTTTCTTGATTTCTAGTTCATTCCATTGGATAAGAGAAGACACTTTGTATGAGTTCAGTGTTTTAAATGTTTTGAGACTTGTCCTGTGGCCTAACGTATAGTCTGTCCTGAATAATGTTTCCATGTGTACTTGAGAAAAATATGTATTCTGCTATTTTTGGAGAGAATATTTTACATATGTCTGTTATGTCTAGTTGGTTTATAGTGTTGTCACATTCTCTATTTCTTTTTTGATCTTCTGTCTACTTGTTTTGTCCATTAATGAAAGTAAAGTATAGAAATCTTCAACTATTATTATATAATTGTCAATTTCTCCCTTCAGTTATGTCAGTTTTTGCCTCATGTATTCTGGGGCTTTGTTATGTATGTATACATATATTCTTGCTGGATTGACCCATTTACCAATATATATTGTCCTTTGCCCCACGTAACAGTTTTTGACTTATGTCTGTTTTGCCTGATATTAGTATAACTATTCTACCTCTCTTTTGATTTTATTTGGATACAACATCTTTTTCCCATTTTTCAATTTCAGCTTATTTGTGCCTTTGAATCTGAAGGGAGTCTCTAGTAGATAGCCTACAGTAGGATCATGTTTCTTTTATCCCTCTGCCATTCTCTGGCTGTTAGTTGGAGAGTTTACTTCATCAGCATGTAAAATAATTACTGATAAGGAATAAGTTACTTGGCCATTGTACTATTTGTTTTCTGTATCACATCTTTTTGTTCCTTACTTCCTTCATTACTGCTTTTTTGTGTAATTACTTTTTTGTTACGTACCATTTAATTCTTTTCTCATTTCCTTTTCTGTGTTATTTTTCAATTTTTTTCTTAAAGATTACCTTGGGGTTTATAATTAACCTATTCAATTTATAACAATTTATTTTGAATTATTACCACTTTAATAGTATATAAGAATTCTGGTCTGTGGCCATGCCACCTTGAACAAGCTCGATCCCATCTGATCTCGGAAGCTAAGCAAGGTTAGGCCTGGTTAGTACTTGAATGGGAGACCACCTAGGAATACCAGGTGCTGTAGACACCTGGTAAAAAATAAAAAATAAGGGATTATAGCTGACAAGGTCCTTGCAATCTTTGAAGTCATCCAAGGATTGCCTCATCTAAAAAAAAAAAAGAATTCTGCTCCTATACAGTCTCTTTTCCCCTTTATATTATTGTCACAGATTACATATTCATACATGGTGTGCCTATGAAGATAGACTTATAATTACTGTTTACTGCA